AATAATTGAGCGCATTAATAACACGTTATGAAATTGGCCCTTAAAATCTCAAATCCAATTGGTAATTGAGATCAAAAAATTTGTGAAGAAATCCTTGTTCTAGCGCTGCCCTTCGGKGCGTTATCTGCAGTCTGCGGCGCCTGCAATGAGCATTGCAATGGGTCGTATAAGGAACAAAAAAATTTGGCTCTATTTCGATAGAATATCAGATTATGCAGCACGTTGTAARAATTGTAAACTTAATCTGTCTTGCAAGCACACTTCAGCTAATTTGGTGCGTCACCTGTATTACAAGTAGGTCGTTTGCAATTAATAAATTGCTCAAATACATTACCCAATGTTGGTGGCCCTATTCGTCCACAATTTTATCAATTCACAGACACCATGTTGATGCGAGCTACTATGGTGCAGAACAAACTGGATTTCTTAAGCATAAACGTGGAAGAATAAATCAAAGATCTGGTGTTGCGACCGATATTTCGCCTCCATATCTAACACCAGTCGTCACAACAAATGACACTTTTGATCCACTTGAAGAAATAAAACAAGAAGTTGTACCCTTGAAACTTGTGCGTTGCGATAGATCCGACGAAGATCCTGATGTTGATGATGACACGGTATAATAATTTTGACATATGACTTCATTAATATTTAATATATTCTATATTAACTACTTGCAGTGTTCAGCGCATGAATATCAAGGACCAAGTGCGTCTATGTCTTCACCATTACAGCATACGCCGTCTACAGATGGTTCAAATGAAGATATAAGCTGTGGTTATGCCATCGATACACATCATGCTAATGAAGAGGAGTCAATTAGCAAGCAGCTATTTTTGGACAACCCACATTTTAAGGAAAAACTTAAAGCAGAAACACGATATTTTAATGAGATGGCTGAATTAGCACGTGCTAAAAGAATTATGATCGAATTGCAAAGTAAGAAGCTGATGTTAGAAATGGAAACTATGCGTTCCAGCTGACTAGGCCTTTTCCATAGAAAATGCGTTATTAGCAGTTCCATAATATATTGCTTAACATGAGTGTTATATAAAATTTAATGTTTGGAATTTACATGTATTTCCCCCTTTTAATATAAACATATTAAACTTTAACTATATTAAACTCAACTAAGATCATATGTATTTTTTTTTAAATATTTTTATATTATTATTTTCACTAAATGCTGGAGGTCGACGTCTGTACATTAGGCATATCAATATTCACATGGTAAGCGGTATCGTTTGAATTTATGTTTAGTAAACGATCCAACTCGATTCGAGCTTTCTTAGCCTGCAATGCTGTAAAATATTTTTGCATACGATAATAGCCTGCTTTTTCTTTAAAGTATTCAGTTTCCATWCGTAAGCGTTCTTCATTTAATTTCCGTAATCTACTAGTACCAGTTGACATTTTAAAAGTTCGATCTGGTGATTCATCAAAACTGGAAGCAGCGGATAAAGGTCGTGCCATAGGATAATTATGCATCATCTTAAAAAAAAAAAACAAAAGGTATATATAAGTTTTAAAATACACATTAAAAATAAATATATATTTAATTCGTACATTAGGATCAAAGGGATCTTCATCACATATAATTTGACCAGCCTGATCCTCCTCTATTATATCATCGAATGTAGTGTGGTCCTTTTTCATATTCCCATCATTGTATTCTATTGTGAATTCTCCATTTTCACTACGCCAATTATCCTCCTCATTGTCGTATTCGTAGTCATCTGTTTCTTCACAAGCATCCTAGCAATAATAAATATCCCATATTCATTAGGAAAAAGCTGCAGTTTACAATTAAAACGAAAAGGCTTTAATGCTAAAAAAAAAACTTACATCTAATCCTAAATTTCGTCTTCGTCTTCTATCGCGTTTAACTGGAGGAGCCGACGCTATTGCATGTGTTGTTGTGAGGTGTGTGCGTATATCTTTACAATCCTTATCATCAAAGACACTTTTACACATCGTACATTTAATTTTACCATCTTCTGTGTGCTCACAATGTTCCCATATTAAAGTGTCATCAATTTCTGCAGCCTCTTGCAATAATTCACCGAACACACGCGTTTGTGTGACAACCCCGTGCATGCGATGTAAGTGTCGTTGCAAATTACTTGTGCCTTGAAAGGATAGATTCTTTTTACAAAAACTACAACGCACGACATCGGGACCAAGCCGTGTACAGTATTTCCAAACAATGCTTGTTGCCGCCGTAGATCTTCTGCGCCGCTGCGCAGCAGCATCTTGATCATTCTTCAAATCTGCTATCGCGTTATCTTCATCGCCTACATTATTTAGCCTTGCCTATTTAAACGTATTCATTAAAAAATTTAATTAATATAAAGAAAAGCGGGCTCACTGTTTCACTCTCTACACGTCCAACGATATTGTGTCTACGTTGTAAATGTGTTATTACATTCGCTGTGCCATGAAAACTCATAACTTTTTTACAAAGTTTGCATCGAATTGTGTGCCTTGAAAGTTTCTCACAATAATTCCATACATAGCTGCTTCCCTTTCGTTCTTTGCGCATACGCCTTCCTTCAGAATTGTTTTCATCTTTCACTTTAATCAGTTCATCATCGCAACTGTTCATTGTAGAGTCTAGTTGATTGGATGAAATAACTGCCACGAATTCTTCTGCATCATCCATAGTCTTTGCGCGACACAATTCTCTACTGGTAATTACGTCTGAGTGTTTACGCCTTAAATGCTTTGTTATATTTGCTGTATTTCCACCGCCAAAATATAATAATTTATCACACAAGTGACAACGTGCGTATCGATAATCTTCTTTGGTACAATACTTCCATATAAAACTACTGCTTGGCCGACCTACTGCACTGACAGGTGCACTTTCTTGGGTATCCTGTAAAAAAAAAACATTCGGTTAAGAGAAACATTTATGTTTTCCAATAGCTAGATATTTTTACCCCTATATCGGTGCTCCTGTTAATATCGTGCGCAGCAAACAAATGTCGAGCCAAGTTGCTGGTTTGTTTGCTTACACTGCTTCCACAAATTAAGCACTCTAATGAACCGTTACTGCTATTCTCTAAGTGGCGGAAGTATTTCCATACAAAGCTGGACTTACGTTTCTTACAATTTCCAATATTCACATAATCGTCTGTTGACTCCGGTTCAATGTGTTCACCATGAATGGATATATTTGTAAGCTGCTCTATGTTCGTTTCTTCAGCAGAATCAATTTCCATTTGTTTGATTTCCCCAGCTTACGCTGCTTTGAGAAAATTAATGCTTTATATCACCTAATTTAATCATATAAGCCCAACAATTGTAAATTAAGCTAGCCCATCATCAAAATACAAAAACTTATTTTTGACATTTTAACAATTATTATCGATGTACATATATGCAATATCTGTGGCGCAGACTCCAAAAATAGTGTATGTATTGAGATGCATTAATGTGTCTAATTTTTATATAAATATTCTTAAGTATTATAAAATGTTGCATTCCATTTTTTTTTCTAAGATTTGTATGTTTATTTTCAAATCATTGATTGTTTTGATTATCTCAGCACGATACGTATAATAAATAGTGCGTTCTAATTTGTCATATTTCGTAAAAAAAAAAGATTAAAAATCTTTGTAATAAAAATGCAACCCTGGTTGGAAACTCTATTTAAAAAGGTGAATAGTATTTTCACCAAAGTTTTTGACATATAATTTATTGTGTTTTTAAAGTATTAACAGCTGAGCAAGGTCTTTTGTTTACACGTTCGTTGTACTATAAGAACATTAATACATTATAAATAAAACAACTAAATTATAAATTCATGAATTATGTCTACGGTGAGTGCCGATTATGAAGATCAACAAACCGATATAAGTTTAGGCGTGCGAAAAAAAGTCAGCATTGTATGGCGATATTTCGAAAAGTTAGACAGGTTGCGAGTGCGTTGCAGACTATGTCGGCATGAGCAAAACTATCAAGGCACAACAGGAAATATTTTGCGGCATTTGAAAAATAAACATAATATTGACGCCACTCTAAAAGGGCAACAAGCTAATCCCAATATGGCTAGTAAATTCGTAAAAGAAATTGAGGAAAAGTCAAACGGCAGAACGGCGGACGAGGTAGGTTGTACGTGATATAATTGTTATGTATGCCTAACAATGCCCTATACAGGATTGCAGCGAAAGCGATTTTCTTAAAATAGAACCCACAGATGTAAGCTCCTCAAGTCGAAGAGTAGACGATGTAAAAAGTAAAGAAACACTTGGCGAAGAACTGGATCCATATACGGATAATGCGTTGGTAAACAATTTATTCGTAATATACTGCTGCTATTTAAAATAATTGATAAAACTCTTTCAGTTTTATAATTATGTTGAGGATCCCACGGGTAAGAGCAATGTTTTAAACTTAGACGGAAACAAAAAATTGTCCGCTGAAGAAGAGCGAATAATGGCTGAAATAGAATATTTCCGTGAAAAGGCTGGATACTATAGGATGCAAAAGAATCTCGTAGCGTTACAAGCAAAAAAGATTAAACATGAACTTAAAAATTTATAACGATTTTGGATCGTTAAAATTTTCTGAAGTTATCCACCTTTGAAAGCACAAATAGTTTTAGTTTTTTCAATATTATTATACAATGAACTAGAATAAGTTTAATCGTTAAATTATGTTTTCGTTTCTGCTTTTGTATTCATGCCTCAATATATTTTTATATAAAAGAAATATGAGAATCGCTTAAACCAATAGCTTTAGTAGTTATTCAGAAATTCTGAATTTTATTTCCTTTAAGTCAATTATTCAAATAAGACGGTAAGTACTAATAAAAAGTGCTAAAATTTAATAAGAAATATCGAAATATAAAGTAAAAGAAATTTTCCAACTACAAAAATATATGTAGCTAAACTTTCGAGATAAAACTCGTGTAACACACACATTTTTTCCGCACCGTGTATTTCTCAAGCTGATTTAATTTGAAACGCCCTGTGTTTATTTAGAATYCAGAGATGTGTAGGTCAATATTTATTTATATTTACAATTTTTTTGTTGTGTAGCATCTTATTGTGAAACATGGGTAAAAAAAGGCTAATTTCTTTATTAAAAGTGTAAAAAAGTCTCACAATTTTTATCTGTAGAACCTGTGCAAGATGTGAAATATATTCCACATAAATCAAAGGCAGAGGATAAAAGTTCAGTGTGGTATTATTTTCTGGTTTCTGCTTGTGGAGGACCGACCGCTCAGTGCAAAAGCTGCAATAAAGTATTAAAGACTTGTTTTGGATCTACCAAAGGACTCTTAACACATTTAAAAGTATATTAATGTAAAAAGTACACAATATGGTACTTAATACTAACATCTAATTATTGTTATTTAGTACCACAAAATCGAGTTGGAGAGAAAGCCAGACAAACCGCCTCAGAAGGTAAGTAATTCATACACTTGGAATGACTACATATTTCTTCATTTAAGTGGTGTACAAAGACAATTCTTTTACTTCTAAACTTGTATGCAAGGGATGATTTAAATGAGATTTGCTGTAATGAAAATAGTAAATAGAAGCTTTGCAAATCCGATTATAATATTGCACTAGCATTGCATACCTTAAAATGTCGGAATATAAGAATGTATTACTACTAATAGTTTCTAATTGTTTATTTGATAATTATATAAAGTATTTATTTATTATTTTAGAAATCCGCCAAAATAGCTCCGCTGAAGCCAAAGTATGAAATAATTAATGGAAAAATAGCTCCACCAAGTCCCACTCGAAGTAACAATTCCTCAATGGCTTTCGACGGTGACATAAGTAACTTATACGAACGACAAATAGAGGTATGCAGTGTTTGTACCCAATATCATATTATTTTAACTTTTATTTATTTACAGTTTGTCGATGGATATCTAATCGACAATCCATTTGTACATGAAGATATTGATCAAAATTTTGAACAAAAGCCGCCGAAGATGCCGAAACGCGAAGATTCTTATCAAAGAAACCGTAATTTAGAAGATCTAAAAATCCGCGTGGAAATTCAATGTATGCGAGCAAAAACAGCGTATTTCAAAAAACAAATGGAGAATCTAGATATAGAACGATCCGTTATGTTATTAAAAGCGAAAAAGTTGGAGTTGGAAGTGGAACAATTGCGAAAAGAGGCGCAAGAAAACAAATTGCGAGTCGGGCCAAAATGATTCCGAACCAATAGTAATATAAATATATGTATTATAAAATTTATATTTTGTAAACTAGTACCAACTAATTTCAATTTAAATTCGTAAATTAAGTACAAAATTCACTATGAATTATTATTTTAACCAACACACTTCACAGCTAATTATTAACTCCATTATTAAACACTTTGAAGTTGATTAATTGGTAGGTTGAGACTTAAAAGTAAATATTTAATAGGTAGGCACATTTTTACCTATATTGTCATATTAACGTAGATTTTGTTATTTCGTTTATGATAATAATATTATACAACTTTTCGAAGTCCATATATAATTAAATACATATGGTAAGTGATAATATTTGTGTTTTTTTACATTGTATAAATACATACATTATACATATGTATAAGTATGTGCTTGAAGTAATAATGGTTTAATTTTATTCATGTTTTATATATTTTATATTGTTTTGGTTATATTTGTTTCATTTTTATAGTGGGTATATTTTGAGTTTGCCATGAATTTCATAACACCCAGAAGTAAACGTCGGATACCCTTTAAAATATATATATATAAATGATCAGTATGATGAGCTGCAACAATTTAGATATTTCTATCTGCCAGTCCATTTGTCCGTATATACGTGACTACTATAATGTATAGTATAAGAATCGAGTTCTTATATGGTATCTTTTTTATTTGAAAAGGATATTAAAGCGTCTGTGCAACTGAATTTAAGATTTTCCTTGTTTTTTAACCAACAGACATCATAAAAAATAAATACGCAGTTTAATTGGAGAAATTGTCATTTCTAATATTCAAAATATTCCTATAGGTATGTATATATACAAAAATAAGTATAAGTAACATAAATGCGTGGCCAGGAGAATGTTGAAGCTTATTGGTTTGCTGGTGCAATTGCCAATACCACTGCACAAATCATAACACATCCAATTGATTTGGTGCGAATGTTGGTTCAGTCAAATGCTAAAAAAGTATCGTCACGTGATATTGTTAAAGAAATATTGGAAAAACAAGGTCTAAGGGCTTTAAACACTGAGCTCTTAAACTAATATTTGCTTAATGAATTACAGGAATCTTGGGTTTCACCTTTAGCTTGCGAACTGCAACTCAAAGACAAATTGTCTATTCGATAATGCGTTTTGGTYTCTATGAAATGGGAAAACGTGCAGAAAGCTCGGAACATTTCTTTCATAAAGCCACAGTAGCTGCAGAAAGTGGATTGGTCGCAGGTTTCTTTGTCACGCCTTTCGAGAAAATGAATGTGCGCATGTGTACAGATATTATAAAATCGCCGGATAAAAGCCGAAAGTACGTGAAATTTAATTGAATATTATTTTTATGATTTTGGATTTATCACCTGCAGGTACTCATCGATCTTTAATGGAGTCATAAGTTCGTATAAAAAAGGTGGATTATCGAAAGTGTACAGATGCGCCTTTATATCCTCGGTGCGCGGAATGCTTATGTCAGTGGGGCAGTTGGCGATTTATGATGAGGTYACTCGATAGTGATTGCTTACATATAAAGTCATTACTAATTTTCATTTTATCCATTTCACTCTACAAATATTTTGTCTCAAAGCTGAGAGAAGTATTTTTCAAGACGGAGCGATTTAAGGAAAACTGGCATTCATGCTTTATGGCTTCATTGATWGCGGGTGGGGTAACCACAATAATAATAACACCCGTCGAAGTGGTTAAACTAATATTTATGGATGCAAAYAGATATCAATATCGCAGTAGTTTGGATGTAATGCGTATGCTTGTACAAGTCCACGGTTATAGGGGATTTTATCGCGGAATATTTGTTTCTTTTCTGCGAATTGTGCCGTCTACTTTGTTAACTTATTTACTCTACGAGTGGATATGTCTGGAATTCAATTTAGGCAGTTGAGTATTAAAATGTGTCGCTTCCGAGCAAAACAAATAACAGTGCTTGAACAGGTTGTTTTAGAGATTAGTTTTTTRAAAAGCCACACCAATGGGTAACCGGAACGGAGCCGAAATCGTGCCAAAATTATTTCTGGAATGTTTTCTGCTTTTACAACAACAACAAAAATATTTATACTACAATATTAAAAACAAGCCAAAAATAAAAATCACATTATTGTTAAGTAATTTTATGAGTTGTCCTTATTTAGAGCACACTACATTTGTTTATAGAAAAGTCAGAAAACCGTGAGCTATGTGCAACTTTGAGCTATCCTAGCTAAGAGTGTCAAACGAAATTTTCTGTTATTTCTGAATATTTGAAGTAATATTTTTAAAAATAAAATCTATTAAACCACGTACTTATTTCACACACATATATCTAAGATATTTTATAAACAATTCAATAAACGGGAATGGCGCATAATACGGATAGCACCAATGACTTGGATAAATTCCAAAGAGAGGACCCTGATGACCGTTCAGCAAATGTGCCAACTTCAAATCCATCGCTCTACGACAAATCACAATCGCTAGTAGATATCGCGAATAATACGTTTAAAGAACTATGTCGTACTTTAGAGAACGAGCAATCCAAATTAATGGAATTAGAAGAACGGCGCAAAAAACTCCAAGAAGAAATGCTACGTCTCAAACAAGAAATTGAGGAAGAGAAACATACATACCGCCTTAACTTGGTAGAATCTTTAACAGAGAATGCGGAGGCAATGAGCGCGAAGGGCATGGAAACTGATGAAGGTGAGGGCAATATAAGCACAAATATACACCGAAAATCAATGTTATGGTTCTACGTTTGAAATTTTGTACAGATTCAGGCTCCGAAAGACAAAACAAATTGTATACGTGTTACGAAGCTGATGAAATAGCTAACGCTTCAGGCACATCACCTGTCAGCTATTCGGCTGATGAGGATGATACCAAGCATCCCAATGAGATTGCGCGCAGTATCCAGAAAAAACTTCAGAGCGTAGTTGCAGAGTGTGTTATTGAACAATGTGCTTATGATGAGCCAGCGCTTGAGGTATGTGTATTTGTGGAATAATATTGTTATCTTTTTTTCTTATTGTATTTTAATATTTTTAGACCGAAATTTTGGACAAACCCTCTACTTGAAGACGGTGCATTTTTATTTATGTATACTTGTATTTTTTAAATCCACAAACATTTTGTTGAAGAATTGTATATTTTATTTCTTAAAATATTTACAACAAATTAAACAGCATCTATTTATTTTGTACAAAGATTTTGTGGTTCAATATCTTTTCAAGTGCGTTGTTAAGTTTGCCAAAATTTGCGCTTTCATGAGTGTATGGAGAATGTTGAAGTTGATATTTGAAAGTATCTAAAATAGTTCTAACGATCTAAATAAAGAAAAGTATATAATTGATCCGCCTTGAAAATATCAGCATTTACTTATACGCTTACCTGAATGATTTCAAAATCTAGCTTATGAGTGATTATAACTTCCATCAACACAGACGTAAACTTATTGAGAAATGAAATTAAATGTGGAGCGATTATTTGTAAGTCAATTGGCAAAATGCAAATCAAGTAACATTTATGCATTTCCTAAAAAAATTAGTACTGAAAATAAAATATTTCTATGTCTATCAAGTTCAAAACGTACCAGTAAGAATTTCTGCGAAATTTCTTTCTCCTGCATTAACTTATATGACTCCACGTTAAGCATAGTTAGAATGCTTTTAGCCCACCGAAAAATTGTGTAGGAATTATTGGTTGCACAAATATTTCGGCAACGTTCTATCGATGAAGGAATATTTAGGCCAGCTTCGCAACAAGCTTCGATTTCCTGTTGGTTTATTGCAAAATATGCCGCCATTTTAGAGACTTGTTGCAAATTACATAGTGATATCTGACTATTGGAGGCCATTGTTACATTTTTAATGGCTTTTTCCATTAGATCATCGAGTTGGCACCACTACAGAGAGAATGGCAGTTAATTGAAATATAATTTTTAAATAGAATATATATGAATATATTACATTAAAACTGCTCAACTCTTTACAGAAGTTTAAACATTTACGTAAACATTCCCAAACATCTGCTGCTGCCTCTGCACAGTCTATAAAATCAATATCTTTGATTGCTGACTCGTATATAACACCATGTATATTTTGTTCTTGAATGTATGCAAAATTCTGTAGGAAAATGTATAATATATTTTATAAAAAAAAGTTTATAATATCTGTTTCCTGGTTACATACACCACTTTTCAATATCACTGCAAATATAAATATACCAATTCGTTTGCAGGTAGGCTCGTGGCTTTCGCGTACAGTTAGACCCACGGATAAGCAGAAATTAACCCATCGTCTTGGAAGCGTTTGACTCGAATATTGCAACTAAGATGTACAACTTTACTTGTTGATAATATGTCTTCATACAATTTCAATTCAACTATGTGAAGAAMAAATTCTTTTTAAATTACCTCTAAATATCTCACGAATCCATGCAAGGAACCCAACTCTTTTTTCCATACATCCTTCTTAAATTTGTTTTGGTAAAATTCAAACACAATATTTGCCACATTTGATATATTTATAGGAGTACGTTCTCGTAGGATACTGTTTGCATTCCTTTGAATATTTTCATTTGATAAGCGATAAATTGTTGGCGCAGCATTAATCTCGCACAATAAGATGATCACATTTGCAAATACCTTTTTTTTTTAAATAAATATGTTGTTAAATGTTGAATATATTATTAGCTGTAACCTCATACTTCATAAGATTCTTGATCTTCTCCACCGAAAATCCAGTGCCGGTTTTGTTGCAACAGGTCGTAGAGGATCGGTAATTGTATTTCCAAAGCATTTCTGTATGAACCAAAATGTTCGCTATTTAGAGGCACATTATCCAAATCCTCCTTTAAAGCCGGAAGGAAGCATGATGAAATTGATTCTTTTAGATATTTTAAATGTTCGGCAGAACAAGACATTTTAGTTTTACACAATGTACTGTTTTATTTTCATATACATATGCATGGTATTTTGTTTACAATCATCTTATCTAAGGGTACGCATACACTGCACTATTTTTCATGTCATAACATTTACGTAAAAAATTTTTTAACCCAGCATAAGGCATCGAAAAAWGGTTTAAAATTTGATTTTATTTTTAATCCTCGCTGAAGTATTTTAACGAAATTTTTATAACATCCATAACTATTTAAATAAAAAAATATTTTGGTAGGATTTCCGAATATCTCCTATCGACCACAATCACCAACCTAAAACAATGAACACATTCCACAACTACAAAGTAGTCCACATTTTGACTTGTGACGTTGTTGTTGTGGTATTTCAGCCGTCCGTCGTAGTTGTCATATGATCAATTTTCATTGAGGGCCAAGAATAAAGAAATATGCTGCGAATTTGTGCATTTTTAATGTTCTGCTTTTTAGCAGGTGAGTAATCGAAAAATAATTCATAGAAATTACATAGGTCCAGCATTCAAAACATGAAATTTTCTAATGGGTGGAGAATACGTGTTATTGATTTTATGTGAACAGCACTGGTAACTTATGAAATAAAAATATTTCCTTCTTTTGTTTTTTAGTCAATGCCGATGGTAGTTTCTACGTGTTAAATGCACCAGAATCGATATCCTTCCAACGCATACAAACTGTTCTGCCAAGTGAACAAGTAGGCGATGTTATCAAGGCAGCAAGAGGTTGTGATGTATCGGACACTGCTGACTTTCCTGGTCTTGTGATCAATGATCCCTTCGGATTACCACAGAAGGCTGCCGTTGTAGATGTAATCGGTTTGAATGAACTTCCACTGAGCGAGGAGAATATTAGCTATAAAATTGATGGCAAATCTGTCCCAGCCTCATTGGATGACCTAAAACTTACTTCGAACGAAGATCCCTCAGACTGTGACATTAACATTTCAAATTTTAAGGAAAATGTACGTAAATTGTTATTACATATACATTTATTAAATCGAATTATTTTTACTAAATCTTATTCCAGGAATTGGCCAACTGCGTCTTAAAATCCAATAAAGAGTTCGTTTACGCCAAAATCGATGTATCCAGCTTAAAAGATGATGCAGAGAAATCAAAAGTAATTTCAGAGTTTACCAACGAACTTGTAAATCTACAACGACAAATCGAAGGTGATGCATCGTCTCAATCATTGTTAGCTGTAATTGTGAGCCATGAAGATGACAAAAACAGTAACTTGTCACGTAGACGACGTGAAACAATCGCTGGATCAACTACTGTAAGTTTATATAATGACTAAAAAGTGAACATCTAAAGTGAATATTTAATTTCAAACAGAACACATACAACCTTGCTGCCTACTATGACCAAAATTACCCAGTCATTTTCAACATAATTCTGTGGTTCATGGTTGCTTTGGGTCTTTCATTATTGGCCGTTTGCTACGCAATTGCCGATATGGATCCCGGCAGAGACTCGATTATTTACAGAATGACATCTACAAGAATGAAGAAAGATAACTAAATAATTATTTCTTTATAGCGAATATTGTTATTACATATACTCTAAATTTATTCAAAATGTTTCAAAACCACCTACCAATCAGCAGAGTATATAAGAAATAATTGTAAATGTTAAAAATGAAAGTATTATAATATTTTGAAGGTTATTTTAACGAAGTAGCGGTTCCATAGAACGAAACTAATTGGAAAATTCATTATTTATCCCATCGTTCTTTTTGGGATTTTTTTTTTCCTACCTCTAAGTAATGCAAGTGTGTGTGTGTGTTGTTTACTTATTCAACATCTTTAAGATTAATTAACGAGGTAGTGCATGTACTATATATTCCACAAGTCAATGTTTAGTGGTGGTTATTAAATAAATACCTAAACAGAAATTCATTCAGTTTTATTTTTGAGCAGTTTTTATAAAAGCATCTCCAATGTGCTACGTTAGGCGATTTTTATGACTTAATAAATTGAAATGTTTTTTCATATAATGATTCCGATAAAAAAAAATGTAGAACGTGAAAGTTAGAAATGGAAACCTTATTGAAATGTAAGTGGGAACATGAGTCATCAGCCATAATAATTTTGTATAGAAATCTACGAATGTTTTGGTTATTAGCGATAATAACATTGTAAGTAAATTTAAAGACATTTTATTTGGAATGGCCAAAACCGTATAAAGGCAAATAAGGAGTTAAAAATATCATGAGTTCATATGWAGATTAGTGAAAGCGTAAAAATCGCACATATCGGACATCGCATGCTTAGGTATGTTCAAACAAAGACTTTATTCGCCCATTTGTAGGTATGTCGACGACGAGGAAAGACGAAAGGACTGCGATGCTCCTGCTAAAATAAATTACCATTTCAAACGGAGTTAGATCGCCGAAACAGCCCTACGGCGGGTAAAACACCGGTCAAAGTAGAACCGACAGTCGGGGAACCGCTAATGATCAAGTTGCATGCTTTGTGCTCTTAGAAAACATGATATGACAATAATAATAAAGTTATTTTAGTTTTCACAAGCCATTGCTATTATTTCGAACACAGTTGTATATATTTATATATACATATGTGTATGTTATGATTGCGCTGTAAATTATTTTATTATCAGATAATTAAGTAAAAATAAATTGCTGTTATACAGGGTTGAATATTATTTRTTTCTAAAATTATGTTAATATTGACAAATAAATTTAAAAAATTTCAACATATTATATAAGTGGAACTCACAACAATTATTRCTCTGAACATTAATTTACAATGAATAATTACATTTTTTATATCTGTTCCCTTGTCCACTGACTGTATTTGGTCATTATTTTCCTGCAGATGTCGCTGTGAAACCATACATTCCTGCAAATATGTCTTTCAGATATTTGTTTTTGTTCACATGTCAAAAATAAACGTGTATCAATTTATAGAAATAAGTACGGGTTTTTAGTGGTTTTGATTGTATGGAAAGTTATTAAATTTAAGAAAATACCCAAATGACGCCCACTACAGCAACTAAAGATGAAACCGAAGCATCACATTCAACTTCAGTACAAAAGAAAAAACCACCGAGTGTTACACCAATAGGCGCTTTCGCGTCAATCGAAGAATTTGCAAAAGTCGGTATTGGCAATATATTTACTATAAGAAAAATATTTTATTCTGGAAATTTTATTATAGAATGGTCTAGTTGAAATTGTAGAAGCTACGAAAGCTGTAAATTCTTTTCCACAAGGAGCCGCACGTGATTTATATTGCGCGTATCCGGCATTTGGTAAAATTGTCGATGCACAGTCGGACCGCATATTTGGGCTGATGTCTAAGGTGTTGAAATGGCAAAATATTAAGGGTAACATACAACGGTGAGTATCAGTGTTATTTTTAAAAGTTTCTTGGTATAATATTTGTTAATATCTTATAATATAATATTTACAAAAAATATTTTTAGCCGCCAGCAAGATGAACAATTCGAAATGCTTCTGGAGTGTAATGATGCTATAATGGAACGTTTGAATTCAAATTTGGATGAATTAGCCGGTATAAAGAAAAACCCGCAAACTATTGTGGTAGAGTCCCACCTAAATATACCCAACAATATACCCAAATCTGGCTCAGGTGCTGGTAGTTGGAATTTAAAGAAAAATGAACAATCACCATTAGCTGCACGTTTAATTACTGCAAAGAATATTGCAAGACCACAATTAAAATTTAAAGTTGTGGTGGATAATAGTGCTTTAACGCCGTTTGTACCAAGAATAAAAGATAAACCGAATTCGTTAAAACCGTTAGCCGTGTTACCCGAGTATGATGAAAGTGGCAATATTGCCAGGTACATTTTAGCTACATTTTGTTGTGAATGATTTTTTTTTTCAGTTATATGTTTTATAAATTACAGTTATTTACATCCGTATGAGTTTGAATTGATGAAATGGGAAGTAYCCGCCGCTCAACTGTCACGCACAAATCCAAAGGAGCCTAAAAAATTAGATGACACAGAACTGCTTTACGTGGATACTGTGCCAAAATTGAATGCCGCGGTTGAAGAGTTGCGTAAACAGCGTGAAATTGCTATTGATGTGGAACACCATTCTTATCGCACATTTCAGGGTTTTACCTGTCTTGTACAAGTTTCCACACGTAACAAAGACTATCTTTTTGACGCATTAGAACTACGCGACGAAATGCACATATTAAATACGGTATTTACGGACCCAAAAATTGTTAAAATATTTCACGGCGCTGATATGGACATTGAGTGGCTGCAACGTGATCTTTCCTTATATATAGTTAATATGTTTGATACGCATCAAGCGGCTAAAGCTTTAAATTACGCGAGATTATCATTGGCGTATCTACTCAAACACTACTGTGAACTCGACGTCGATAAAACGTTCCAATTGGCTGATTGGCGTATACGTCCATTACCAAAAGAGTTGGTATCATATGCACGCCAGGATACACATTATCTTCTCTATATATTCGATCGTTTAACCAATGATTTGCTCGACGCGGGCAATCAGCACTCCAACTTGTTGCGTAACATTTATCAACGTAGTACTGAAATCTGCAAAAAACGTTATGTAAAACCACATGTAACAGCGGATTCACATATGGATCTTTATCGCAAGTCAAAACGGGTTTTCGATAATCGACAATTGTACGCATTACGCGAAGTTTTCCAATGGCGTGACAACGTTGCGCGACAGGAAGAYGAAAGTTACGGTTATGTCCTACCCAATCACATGTTATTGCAGATTTCCGAGAGCTTGCCGCGCGAAATGCAAGGCATACTTGCTTGCTGCAATCCCATACCGCCATTAGTTAGACAAAATCTCCACATATTACATCAAATCGTGCTGCGGGCGCGTGAACAGCCACTGGTGAAGGTGAATATATATACATATATAGATATCTGTTAAATATTGAACTTCATATGTAATCAATTTATTTACTGAATTCAATTTCAATTTCAGCCTGTTTTGGAGACGGAAGTAATCCATCGCGTTGCCAGCAATAACACTAAAGATTACAATAGCAAATTATATTGTCCACATGATCTCTCGCATAACGAAGAGTTCCGTGATGATTTGCCAACACTGCTGAACTTCCGCAAAAACCCACTACTGCCCTCACCAACTAAGGCTAACGTAAAGATGGCGAAACCAGCATTGAGTATTTATGAAACACCAGAGCCTTCGGAGGATGATGTAAGCATTTCGATAAATGATGAATGTTGAACAATTTATATTTTTATCGTATCTTAATAGGATGAAGATCAGCGAAAACAAAAACATCTACATAGCAACATAAAATTCGTCAGCCCATATCAACGTTATTTGGCTATGCTACCTTTAATAGAAAAAGAAAAGGCTGAAGAAGCGGCACGCATTGAAGCAGAAAATAAGAAACGTCAACTCTGTCCGGCTGTCAAACCACTGCCTGCACAAACAGCGGTAAAATATACATTTAAATTATATTAGTTTATTCAATTCATATATTTAAAATATATATATATATTATGTTAAATTCGTATTTCAATTATAGACCGAATTTAAAGTTGAGCCTMCGGACGACGGTGATTACAGCATGCCGATAAAAGAAATATTAAAACGCACACATGAAGAGGCGATCGCGAAAAAGGCACAGTCAAAAGAGTCAGAGGAACCTAAAGCGAAGCGTTTCAAGACCGATACACCATATGACGATAAATTGAAATTTGTTAATTTACCGCCGACTAAAAAGGAAATGCGACTGGCTAATAAACAAAAGGCCGCCGAAACACAAAAGCCCGCCGCTACCAATGTGGCCGCCGACAAATTAAACAATTCGGTGCACACAATTCGAGATGACTCTGATAGTGGACCGGAAGAGGCACCATCCACATCACAAGCTCAAATGTCACAATCGAATGCCAATCAGCAACAAAGACAAGGCCAAGGTGGCAAAAAGAAATTTAAAAATAAGAATATAAAAAATCGTCAGAATCGTAACCAATCCTCAAGCAAGCCGATTGATGTGCAAAATTTCGACTACAAAAATGTGGATTTCCGAAAATTCCAAGGCGGTGCACAACGCGCTAAAGGCATGGAGTTGAAGCCACAATTTCATGGAAAAGTATGTCTTGTAAATTGATTGCGAGTTAAATTTATTCACTAAATGTTTTCTTTGTTATATTTTCAGAGCAATTCAAATAAGGCCAATAATAAGAAGTTCAATAAATTATTCACATTTAGCAATGTCAAAGGTAAAAAATAGTAACATGACTTTATTAGGACTATATAGCAATTTGTTTGATCAACTACATTAGAAGTCTTGGACGTAGGGTAACATGAAATTCATTTTTTTTTAARTTTAACTTAATAAATTACATTATCTTTAACAAACTTCAACAAGCTTAAATGTATTTGTCTATTTTATATACATATGTATTTTATAAAATTACCCAAGGGAGCAGTGTGAAAATACTTTTGCTGAAATTTTATATCTTCTTAAATTTAAATATGTATGTACATTACTATACTACATACTACTAGGTAATAAAATATAAGATTTTGAATAAACTTACTTACAATTGGGAATTTATTGCATATATACCTATAGCTGCTTAAACATTTTATCACCTTCCCTGTCCATACAGTACTCGACAACTGCATAGACAACCAGTAGCCTACGTTCTACGCCTCTTTTGTGCTTATCTGTGATCAAAGGAAAAAGTGCATCATGCTTGGAAAGACGATCAATGAGCTCGGTGAGAACGCCGCCCGAAAATACCTGCAGTCGATCCCAGGTAGTTTTTCGTATGCTATGGAAAATCGCAAAATTTTTCAATACTGAAAAAAAAACTAAATATTTTACTTAAATTCACTCACAGACAACACTGATATAGTGGCGCCAATATGTCTAGATGATCCTTGTTGGGATTTCCAAAAGCCTTACCGTTGTCTATGAGCACTAAGCGCTCYTCGCGTGTCTCATAGTGATGCCGGTCGCCATTTTGTATGAGATAATCAAAAATTGCGGCATCAATGAGGTCCAATAAACGCATTGTTTCCATTTTATCTTTTAGCGGCCTATAAGGAATGAAGCCAATAATATTTTAACGTACAGCCAAAATATGCATAAAATTGTAATCAAATGCCACTTGCTACATTTTTGCTCACTTGCAATAGTTCATATCATCCTCCCAGGGCGCACGTTTATCCTCTTTGTAAGTACGTTGCCAAGGTGAACGCCGTTTTGCCAAAGAGCCCGRCACGATGTATATGAGAACACCCTCTATGTTATTCTGCTCATCACCGCACACAGTCTCCTCTTCGTTACAGTAATGACACTTGCCGAATAGGCAATATTGTTCCGTACCATTCTCCGTTTCAGTGATTGTCATGGAATTCTTCAGCTCGCTATCACCTTTGTCATAAATATCTGTCTTCAAATTGACGACACGTCCCACCACAATAGGTGTCCACCTGAAGTCGAGTACAGCGCCTAAATAAAATGCGTATACTTCCGCAGTGTGACGATCTTTGCCTGCATAAACGGCGCCTTCGATTACTGCATCACGCTCATACCATTGCGGTTTGAAGATCACTTTTTGTTTATTCGCCAAACGTATGAGCAATTTGAGTTGTGTACCTTTTGCCAAATTTGTGACTTTTGTTATCGGTTCTAGGCGCAATGTTTGCAGCAGTTGAGCCATGGAGGTATCGTAGATTGGATATATTTCATTTTCTTGTGGCCACTTGAATCGAAAAACGGTTTAATAATATAAACTAGGAAAAAGTAATGAAAATTTGTGGCTTGCAATAATTACCCAGTTGGCAATATCCCACAGAACGGTTGCATTTTCATATGGCGCTGGTTTATAGTTTTTCAACAATTTATTACGGTACATAAAAAGTCGGGGATTCCGATTTAAATACACAGGATGAAGTTCACGAATTTTCTGGCGTATCATATTTTCCAACGCCCGCGTGCTGCTTACATGCGGAGCTTCTTCAACGTTAAGATAATACATAAAATACAAATTGGCGCCAGCTACTACGCACACGAGTATGACCAGAGCAACAATAATGCCAACAGTGCGTTTATTTGCAGCCATTGTCGCACTAATTTTGTTAAGTTATTGCTAAAATTGCAAAATTACGTTTCAGCTATATTTAAGGAAATAAAATTTAATTAATCATTGTCCACATGCGTTGTTGTTAATTATCATTGTGATCTATCTGYTAGTGCGGCGCAGTCACTCACCTATCAACAAAATGTATCTCACTCTCGGAAACTGATTCAGTGAGCAATTTTTATTGGGAAGAGCTCACACATATGTAAATATGTGTGAATGTAAACTAGACGATAAAAATGTTTATTTTTTGTTTTGACCAACAAATCACAAATGACGGCAGAATGCTTCGTGTTGTCATTGGCGTTTCGCTACAGAATCGCGTCTTTATTTTTGTAATATTTGTTGATATATTCTGCGCGCCGTCATCACAGASAGCGTCATTACATGCAAAATTTGCCGGCAGCTGCTCTATTTGGTGTTGTAACGTCGCTCTTTGTTGTTGACAAAGTCATCAGCGAACGGCTATTAGCAACAGCAACAACGATAGGTATCACAATTTTCTTTTTTAATTATGACCCTTAAAATTTTCGCAACTTTCCCGCACTTTTGTTTGTTCGCCTCTAATTTTCCTTGGCTGGCATACATGAAGGTGAAGTGTTAARCGTTTCAAATAATTTATTTTTAATTCAATCTTAAATTTGGCAATGAAGGCCTGTAGAAATTGCGCTTATTGGTGTTTTAATTARTTTTATACTATAAAAAAATACACGTTGTCAAAAGACTGACGATTACTTTTATATTAGTTTATAGTATATTGTGTTTTTGGTTGGCCAAACTCCTCTACCATGTTTTTACCAGTGCTTTGTTTTTAATTTCAAAAATATAAAACTTTATTTCGATGTATGCTTTATTAATATCCCGCATTTTATTAATTTATCATAAGCACGCAGATTTCATCCATTTTTGGAATCACTTTAGCAAATGGTTATATAAATTTAGCAGGAATGTAGCTTGTGCGGATGAAAATATTATATAACAACGCGGTTCCATATATTAACATAAATTTGTTTGCACATACATTCCAATTTTTAGAAGATTAATGTGGGTAAATAACACGGTTTTTCACAATCATTACATTAATTTTTCCACATAGAAATCCATTCCAAACTGATCAAAAATATTTCAAAAGCACTTTGCCTGCACAAATAAATATTTTTTTTTTTGCTTTCCTTAAATTTTAATATGCCACATGTTTTGCGTATCGTTGAGAACGTCTAAATGCGTTAACGTGTGGCAAACTTATGTGCCTTGGTTTGCTATATCCGTCGCGTATACTTGCCGTTGGGCTTTGGGCTCATTTGCCATTGTCTACGCCGTCGTTTTCGTTTTGTTTTGATTTTGAAATAACTCATTAATTATGGCACTTGACTTCAATTAAATTAAATTCTATTGTAACGAAATTTTGCGAATGTCCGCTTAGTTGTTGGCAAGACAAAACATTAATGCGTAYGCAACAGCTGCCGCAGCGCACCTTTGACTAATGCAATGACAATTTGTAATTGGCAAACACAAAACAGAACATACTGCCGGGTGTAATGTCGTTGCTCATGGCCAACAATCTTTACGTCGTCTAGTTTTGTACATCCCCTTTCAGCTGTAGTATACACACTTCTTTGCCTGTCGTTGTTCTAGAATATAAGCATAAAATTTGCTAGATTATAGGTATACAGAATGTTGTTTACATTTGCTCTTATTACGTTTACAACACCTGTCTGTGGATATTTTAGGCCGTGGCGAAAGTACTATGACGATGAGGGGTCTACAATTGATGCGTACCGGTAGCGGTTTGCAGAGACCTGTGCGCGCCAGAATATTTCCTCTCAGAAGATACTGCTCTTAATTATTCAGCTCAAACTACAAGCAGCCAATTATTTTCTATGAGAACAATTTGTTTACATGTTCCTTTTTCCTTTTTACAACGTTTGTGTACCTCATTGAACCGTATCAATGTGCCGAAAATAAATGTAAACTTTCGCAACAAGTCAGCTGTTCTTTGTTTTGATTGTGAACAAGCTTTTCAATGCTGCCATATTTAATAATTTTTTTTTAACAAATAAAGTCACAAATTGAGAAATAGAATTCTTTCGCGAAAAATTATTCGGTTGTAAAAATTGTACGAGATAATATTTTATATGACATGGATTCAATAATGATTTCTCTATCATTCTAGATATGGATTGATATAGTTCTTAATATTTTGTAAGTAAATTATTGCGATGCATGTAATACTTGCTTATGTGACTGATTGGGCCTAACAGTTTTGGAATTTATACGTGGAAACTATTTTTTTGCAACGAAAGGCCCTTACATTCTTTAAAGAATGTTTAGACCATAGATATTTACCTATATTTTTGGTAACCAATCTTTAATATTAGAGCTACGATAGGCCGTGCATAGATTAGAGTAAATGTCCGTCTTTCCGGAATAGTTTCCAACGAACAGGTTTTYGCGCAAAATTTAAATTAAAAAGTCTTACTATATTTTACCCACATTATTATTAACAACATCTGACTGATTCCACACATATTAGTTTTTAAACATACTGGCAACTCTGTTTCCAGTTCCGCTTTACTCAGTTTCCGCCGCCTTTTTGAACGCCGTGCATTTACTTTCGTGTTTGCTGCAAGAAATTTGTGAAAATTGTGCTTTCTTAGTGAAAATTAAAGAAATTAAATAATTAAWCAAAATTAATATAGTGTTACATTTACATAGTTTACAATGAAGATAAGATTTGTCTAATTAGTATATTTTATAAGATAATATGGTTAGGAGGCTTAGTCAACCGAGTGTGCTGCGCGGCTGCAATGGCAGGATATTGCACCAGCGCATGAGTGGCTTCTTAAAATGCCATTTGAATACATACAGCATATGCTATAGATGTATAGTATACCTAGCGGAAAGCATTAAAGGTGTGCAGTTAAATGGAAGCAGCTTCAGTTAAAGATATCAAAAGTAAGTCTACAAATTTTCTAAACATTTTGTTGCAATGTGTATATGAATGTACGTAGCAAGAAAGCTGACAACAGCGCTATCTAGTTTTTATATTTTGCTATTGCATACGTCAAAAATTAAAACGTTTGCATATTTGTCCTTTACTTTTGTGATTTTTCAAAGTTTACATACATATGGTTAAGTTTTTTTTATAATATATATAGTTTTTATACTCTTGCAATATGTTGCTACAAAATAGATTAGTTTTCTTCAGCTAACGGTTGTACGTATCACTTAAAACTAAGGGAGGAGATAGGGTTATATATATTATATATAATAGATCAGGATGACGGGAAGAGTTAAAATCCGGRTGAATATCTGTCTGTCCGTCAAGATAAGTTGTAACTTGAGTACAAATAGATGTTTTAATGAGATTTGGTACACATGTTCCTTGAAAGTAAGACGCAGTTCATAAACATATGTATGAGCGTAAGCGGGCCACTCCAACGCCTACAAAACGCAATTAACCGAAAACATATGAAAAGTCATAAATAAGCACTAAATTAAGATATAGARCTGTAATTTGGGACAGGSCATCGCAGTAGCAAGGGGTACTTGTGGGCTAAAAAAGGCTTAAAGCCACATCGATAAGGTCAGTTTGTTGATTTTGGGCTTTAGCCTTTCATACAATATGCTCGAYAGAACTTTATATGTGATGTTGAGGAGACTTATGMCACGGTAGTTGGCGCAGTTTGTRGGGTCTCCATTTTTGTGGATTGGGCAGAGCACACTTAAATTCCAATCGTTGGGCATGCTTTCGTCCGACTACATTCTACAAAGAAATTGATGCACGCTCTTTATCAGTTCTTCGTCGTCGTGTTTAAATAGTCCGGTCGGCACCGCTTTGTTGTTYTTCAAACCGGTAATTGCTAWGCGAACTTTTTCCTGGTCGGGCAATGCAACGTCTGTTCCATCGTCATCGATKGRAGAATCGGGTTCGTCGTATCCAGATGTTATRCTTTCACTCCCATTCAAMAGGCTGGAGAAGTGTTCCTCCATAATTTTAGTATACCGGTCTGAAATTTTGCWAACGTTCTTGTCCCCCCAAGAAACGCCGCTAAAGCATATAATTATGTAGCTGCCAAACAAACTGAACGATAAAATCAATTTCTTTTATGGACAAATTTGTATTCCCGAAACCGAGGTTAACGTTTTTATTATTTTTGTATTTTTTTAACTGGATAAATTTGTATGTTTGAGCAACTAACGAGTGAGGYGGGCGTCTCAACAGGAGTTTTAAACTTATTAAGAGGTGATGAGAATTTGAATATGTAAGTTTAGATACATATATGTATGTATGTATACAAATGTGAGGTATTAGTGTCCACATTTGAAGTTTGAGCAATTATTTCCATGGCGCTACCACTTTTCATTTAATTGAATACTCTTACATAAATACCTCTGTTCGTATACATACTTGTATGTATGTATTACATTTCCACAAAAATTTGTTATATATTTAATTATGAACAAATTGAAAGCATTCGGTAAGTCTTGTATTATTTTTTATTACTCCGAAAGTAATTGRCTACAACACTAAATTTATTCTCACCTCTCATAACACCAATCCACCAACTATCAGGCAGTGGAATGCTAAACGTCGGACTCACTACGTTGGCCATCAAAATTAATCCAATTAGTGAGTGTGCGCGCGACATTTAAATCCGCAATGATCCCGGCCATGTGGCGGAAAATACTGCTGTGCTGTGCCCTTACATATGTATGTATAGTATRTGTTATTTCCGCCAATATAGTTATGTGCACTGCACTGTTATGCGGCCACAAAGTCAGTGAGTAGACACATTATACCAGTCAATGAACACACATACATCTGCATTAAATTTATACTGTGTTTGGAACAATATTTCTAAAATATGTTTGGCGAAAATTAAGTGTTCCCAAGGGGGTRCTGGACAAAAGTCGACTGAATTTTTTTGGTATTCTAATACTCTAAATGTTGATATTTTACTTATAGTATTCATATACATATTTGTATGTATATATGYAAACAAGAGGTAAATAAATGTGGCGAGAATCAGAGTTTAAAAGAATAAAAGTACCACAGCTTTGTTATTATAAAAGAAGGACCGCGCTATAAAAAGATCTGCGAGAAAAGTCGCAGAAAAGCCAAGATGATAGAACATATATTAGCCAACGTTAATGTCACATTAAATATCATTACGGTGACAGATTATAATCACCTTGACATTGAATGAAACAATAAAGCCATAGCAGAAAAGTGTAGTCCAAATGCAACAACAAAATGAATTCAAGTAAAATGTCATAAAAAAATTAAATTGACGATGATTGTGAGCAAAAAGATAACATTGATCTACACATTTTTTTGTTGCATTTGGACTACACAAAGCCATAGCAGAAAAGTGTAGTCCAAATGCAACAACAAAATGAATTCAAGTAAAACGTCATAAAAAATTAAATTGACGATGATTGTGAGCAAAAAGATAACATCTACGCATTTTTATACTCTCGCAACAAAATTATTAAAGAGAGTATTATAGTTTTGTTCACATAACGGTTGTTTGTAAGTCCTAAAACTAAAAGAGTCAGATATAGGGTTATATATACCAAAGTGATCAGGGTGACGAGTAGAGTTGAAATCYGGATGTCTGTCTGTCCGTCCGTCCATCTGTCCGTCCGTCCGTGCAAGCTGTAACTTGAGTAAAAATTGAGATATCACGATGAAACTTGGTACACGTATTTCTTGGCTCCATAAGAAGGTTAAGTTCGAAGACGGGCAAAATCGGCCCACTGCGACGCCCACAAAATGGCGAAAACYGAAAACGTATAAAGTGTCATAACTAAGCCATAAATGAAGATATTAAAGTGAAATTTGGCACAAAAGATCGCATGAAGGAGGGGCATATTTAAACGTAATTTTTTTGGGAAAAGTGGGCGTGGAGATCCCTGATATCGAACACGAAGAACTCAGTGCCTCACTAACCCTAAAACAATTCTTCACCGAATATATCGGTAAATCAATACAGTTAAAATAAATGAAAATACAATTCAGTACTCAAAGTACACAAATTGCTCTAATTTAATTAATTTTACAGCAAAATAAAAAAAATATGTAAATGACGGAGAATGAAATCTCGATTATCACTTTATCATGCGAGAGATGTCAAGCTCTCTCTTGTCAAGCTCTCTTCACATCTCTCTAACAATGAGATCACACGGAAGTTCGAAAATCTTTATTTTAGATATATGGGTCAATATAAGTCGTCTTATGATGCTAAGAAATATGTGTACCAAGTTGCATTAAGATATCTCAATACTCAAGATACAGCTCGCACAAATGGACGGACGGACAGGCAGTGCGGCGGATTTTTAACTCACCTCTTCGTACTGATTGTTATAAGTTCTATCATATTCATATTGTAAGTTCTGCTTCTAATAACAATCCTGCCTTTAAGCTTATACCACCATGTTTATTTCTGTTTAAGGATGATTCTTCGTATGATAAATACTTTCCAAATAACATACGGTCCTACTAACAGATATTTCCTTTATTTGCTTAAGTGTGAATTAAAACAAGGAGAGCTCCTTAACAAAAAGAACGCAGAAACTGAAGTAAAAATTCTGAAATTCYCTTCTATTATGCACTACTAATGTACATCTGTATATCCAACATTTACTAATACAAATGCATTTAGGCACGTGCGCCTTAGTATAGTCACATGTTGTGTATTTTATCGCTTTTTAATCGCTGTTAATTGCTGCCGCTGAGTTTGCTACCCGGCGCCACAAATACCCYAAAAGTTAAGCACACAATAACTGAAACGTGGAGCAAGAATATGGATGTACGCTTTTATTGTTGTTGTTAATACATAAGTTCGAGTGCTTTRTTTGGTAAATGTTTGCTTTAATGCCTCGGTCTTACTTCGATTTCATTTAAATAAAGCTTTCGATTATATGCTATGTTGATGAGTAC